AAGGTTCGCCAACATTAAGGGGTTTACTGTTCTTCTGAGTGTCACATGATGTTAACATTTCAAGGAGGCTGAAGGTATTGGTTTAAGAAAAAATTGACCTATGAAAAAAATGCCCTTCTCCAGGTTAGGCACGCGAGGTTCTTTTGCACTACCTATAAGGTGGCAAGTTTATTTCGGCAGAGCTTTTGGTAAAACGGAGTCACAAAAGTAGCTATATTTGGCGTCAACTATTTTGTGCTGCATTATAAAGCCAGAGTAGATTCCACAGTGCGTGCTTCAGCAGAGCACTGTTTGTTGCGAGAGCATATGTGGTTTAGTGTTGCATACCATTTGCATAATCTAGAGAAACTAGCACTGACAGAGTTGGAGCACTCCAAATATTAACAGCCGACTGTAGAAGCATTGAGAGATGCCCACATGCGAACTGTGCATTTCTTAAAGGTGGGTTCGAGCAAAGGTAAAAACAATATCTATACTTACGGCGGCCATACTTGCCTTTCCCAAGCACGACCACTTTTCCCTCGGTAGCACCATCCAGTAAGAAGCACCAGCAACACGCCCATGAGACGCCGCCGCCTCCTGGATTGAATGACGACCCGCCTGAGGTCTTGGAAGGAGATCCGGAACACTGCTGTAGGCCAGATGTTGTATCTGGTGGGGCAGAGACTAAAAGCAAAAATTAACAAATTTATCTGAAGCGCTACATTCCTATAGGACAGCAGTATTTTTTTTAGGCCAGTGATTCGCTTTAATTAAACACAAATGGTTGGGTTATATGATGAACCATCAGCCCTTATTTTTCTTAAGTGTAACGCAGTGTCTAACGTTACGTCCGACGGAACCCGAAATAAAAATTAAAGTTACGCCCAACGTAACTGTCAAGCATTCGAGTTACGTCCGACGTAACCCAAAATAAAAATTAAAGTTACCGTATTTACTCGAAAATAGGTCGAACTCTATTTGTTGGACCCACCGAGAATAAAAAAAAAAAATTCAAATATAGGTCGACTTTTTTTTTTATTTTTAAGAACAGGGGAAATTTTGGGCAAAAGAAAGAAACCTTTATTTACATCACTTCACAGCTTGGTAGACATCCTCGCAAATCCGCCACAATACTTCACTGACACCGTTGTAAAATGACGACAAGAAACGAAAGAAGGTGCGAAGCGACGAAAGACAAACTACAAAGACGCAAGCAAAGCCGCCGTGTCGCCATGAGCAACACGCGAGCCGAGCCGCCTCAAGCAACTAACAAAAGTATCTTTCCTTTTTTTTTTTTTTTTTTTTTTTTTTTGTGCGCGTTTGCGAGGATGGAGGACAAAGTGCATGGCGCATCGCGTTCCTCTCCTTCCCCATTGCCCAGCAAGGGGAACGCTAGAGGTGCGATGGCGAAATCCAATGCCCCAAGAGGTGCGCGCGATAGCGGCATCGGCCACCGCTGTTGTTTTCGGTTGTTTAACAAAAGCCTTTGGAAACAAGAAGCGGCGCAGCTCTACGGCAACGCCGGCTCGGTGACTCGATAGCTTCATGCCTCCGGTACGGTCGCAAAATTTGGTCGCGAATGTAGGTCGAAATTCTTTAGTCACGATTCCCGAAAAAAAAAAAATAAAAGAAAAGAAAAAAAAAAGGTCGACATATATTTGAATAAACACGGTAGTCAGCTGCGCGACGAGACACACATTATGAAAGCGATTGGTGCGAGCGATCAAGGTGATGAGCGACGTTTTCTAGAAGCCCAGGAACCGAGCGGCGCAAGCAGCGAGAGTGAGAAATCTTCGTCGCTCGGCGCCGGCACTCGTAGCTTCTCGTCGTCGCTCGTCTCGTTGATCGCTATATTGCTTACATGCTGTTCAGAAAAGTGCTCTAAGTGGTTACCATTGCATTGGGACCAGCCTCGCATCCAACCGTAACCAGTCTTGACTTTTTTTTAAGCCGCCCAGGTAGAAGTTAACATCGTACATACATCGTTTTCAAGCATGGCTCCTCGTTCATTGCTCGATTTACTTTTTCATAAATGACAAACCGCAATGAAGCACAATTATTCTAGTTCAAAATTGTCACGAACACTTGGCACGCATGCTTACACTGTAGCGCACCTAACGTAATTTAAAAGTAGAACGAAAACGGGACGAGATTCGCTTACCGATTCACGGAAACAGAGTCCTTCGGATCCTAGGCCTAACGGCCGAAATCGGAAGTCGCCTGCGGTCCGGCGATCGGACGAGTTGAGCCGGCCGCGCTGTGCTGACCCCGGCTGACCACGCCTGGTTGAACCATGAGAGGCGTCGTCGAGTTGAGAGCCAGAGACGCAGTAGAAACGGACCGTAAAACATCTGTCCCGTAAAACGCAGAAGGAGCCAGCGCCAAAACCGCTACGTCTGGCTGCGTCGCCATCTCCGCGACGACCGGAAGTGTGTAAACCGGGACTGGCCGGGAAGTTAGAAAAGGCGCGGCAGCGGAAGCCACTGGGCGGAAGCTTTACGTTTCGGTTTCGCTTTTCTCCGACATCGGCCACGGTCGCGGGCTGGTATGTTTGCGGCTGGTTGCGACGACGCGAGGGGCCACGAAAAGACGCCGAGTTGGCCGAGTACGAGTCACGGCCCACGATACGAGCAACGGGCCATTTGCCCCTGTCGACCGGCGATGCGGTATCCGCGGCTTAGTGTCACGATCGGTTTGTTGCCGTGCACGTTGACTCAAAGCTCGAAGTTATGCAGTTCCGTCAGTTCCGTTCCGGCACCAGCCGCACCACGTTTTCCGGTGCATCGCACGTGGAGGCCTTTCGACGCATTCAGTGAGCGTAAAGATCGCGCCCGCTGTCTTCGGTGCTGTGGAAGAAGTTGGGAGACGGAAGAAGCATCAAAACCAAGGCGTTTAGGACTCCAGTCCGGGCCGCCGGTCCACTCTGAACGAGAGGCGACGTGTGTGTGCACGCTTTGAGGAAGCCTCCACGTTTCGCCGCACCAGACCTCGCCGATCGCGACCAGACCCCGAGTCCGAGAGGCTCTTGCGCAGCCAGGAACGGCAGCGAGGTAGGAGCTGCTCGTTCTGCGCAACCATGCAGTGCTCTACAGTGATCGGAGCTCTCGGTGTCATGCGTGCTTGCACCGAAGCCGTTGTGACCCCTTCGGACGCGCAAGTCGTACTTCGCAAAGGTTTGGACGGGGCCGCCGTCACCGAGCAGCTCCGCTAAATTCCGCTTACTTATGATCGCAATAAAAGCTTGCGTTTGTTCTCGGGAAAAAAATTGCGGGACCGCTCTCCGCGCCGCCGACGAGGTTGGCCGCCACCATGTTCTCAGCTGTTCACTCGCTCCCGCAGCGAGCGCCTTCCGATAATCCTCCCCGTTCCAAAATGCGATGCGATCTTCGTTTGCATGGGCTGAATGAATGCGCACTCGCCATCTCGATCCACCTCTGTCTAGCGACTTTAATGCGATGCGCTTTGCGCATTATGCCGTTTACATGACCGCATATTGAATGCGGCAACTGGATTCAATGCGACTAAGTCGCATTCATGTAAACGCGGCTTATGTTATTTTTCGACATGTATGATGTATGTAACGATACCGGTGGTAAACGATGGACGTTTTTTGTTGGAAGATGGCGGTCGTCTTTCTGCATGTATGGTTTAGTTATACCGGTGGTCTTGTGGTATAGGCGTTTCGTTGGAAAGATGGCGGTCGCCTACGTCATCGGACGCAAAATCATACCAGCCATACCGAGTCATATCGGCGAGCAAACCGGCTGCCAGTATAGACAGACCCGGAGCCATAGCGGTGCCGGTATCTCCAGTTATGGAGAACGCAAAACCAAACTAGCTGCATGTATAATAACAATAAATTATGGTGGTGTCATACCAGGACTGTACAAGCAGCAGGTTTGTTTCTTGTACGTTTTTCCAATAGGGAAGCCATCTATTACAAATAAAAGCACGCACCTGCCTTTTTACTGTCTCACTTGCACACATGAGCCACTCCAACAGAAGGTTAGGATCCTTGGAACAAGCAAAGGTACCACGACACAAACTTTTGGAAGCAGATTATATAAAAAGTAAATGTATGCCACATGGTGGAGCCTTTTTCATTGACTCATGTCAAATTGGGATGGCCTCCTTCTATTCTTTTGTCTATGTTGTTGGCACTCTGACGTATGATTCCGTATTTCTCTTGTTGCATGTTGCACTTACACTGCTTACACTGTTTGCCGAATTCTCATGGCAAATAAACCAGATGACTGTGTAGCACTCATCCTGTTGTGGTGTGTCTCTGTATCTGTCCTTTCTAGTGCTGTGATCTGTTCAGGTGACTCTAACCAGCTGGTCCAACAGCAGGTCTAGTTGGTCTTTGTTTCAGACTTGGCTGAAACAAGTGGCTCGGGGTGAGGCCTGAAGGCAAAGTCACCAAACCGTTGCAACTAAACCCGGTGACTGCCTCATTTGTAACCGAAAGACAAGATCCACAGAGAAGCATAAGAATGTGAAGCAATAGATAAAAACATATGCACATGAAATGAAACTAATATTTCTATGGTGACATGTAATCTACCAAATATATCACACACCTGTGCATATGCCCACATTTCAAATGGTTTTAAATTTTACTATTTCCTGAAGCATATATACATATGCAGAAATTCACCCTAAGCAAGTTTTCAACTGCAAATTGCTTTTAGTTATATCATAGCGTTTAATAAGTAATTCCACAGCACCTGCATGGCACATATAAGAATTATGTCTTGCACATAAGAGCCTTAGATGTTGGTGAGCCATGAAATTTGCTGCACTTTAACATTGGCTTGCAGTTTGCAACAAGTCACCCACGTCAACCACAGCTCAAGTGTTTAACTGCATCTGAAGTCAATGCGTTAAGACCCTCACTGGCTGGCTTGCTTTATTCCAGCAATTCCTAGCCATATGGCTGGCTGTCTACAAGGCTAGCTCAGAAATGCAATGATGTTTAGATAAGTTTAGATACCTTAAAGGAGACCGAAGTTAGTGTATGCCTACATTACCAATATTTATTCAACTTACGTGGAGAGGGCAAGGCCAGACGGTGCGATGGCGCATCGTCATAGGTTGTGAAGACATCCTCAGGAGTTTCGGCCTCCGGGGCTGGAATTTCAACAAGCAAAGATGCCCTTGCATTAAATATATGTTTCTCTGCTTCAAAACAATTTTCCAAGACATTTGCAAATTAATACACACCTGAAAACTCCGACGTTTCAAGTGTTGATGTTTCTTCGGCTAGCCGAGATTTCTTGAGGGCCTTCTTGTAGGTTTCTAGTAAATGAATTCAAAGAACCTCACCAGAAATACTTTTAGAACACAATAAAGGCATGCCCTACAGAAAAGGCCTGTATTGTTAGCGATTAAGCAAATTAGCACATGTTTTCCCCAAGCTCATTCATAGAAATATTTGATTGTGAGAACTCTTGTTCCGCAGAACTAAAATCAAGCTTTTACAAATTTTCAGCTTATTCACAACAATGCAATGGAAGCTCATGCACTCATTTTGTAAATTTATATCTAGCTTTCTTGTTATAGTTATTCCACAAAAATTTAAGGCAAAGAATTACATTTTTGGAGGAGAAGAAAAAACTATGTACTATCTTGATCCGAGTTAGCGGGAACACGGGAGCGCATGGCATCGTACCCTATCAGAGCGCTCTACCGGTCAAGCGCGCAACTGCTGGGCATGCGTGTTACGCGGGCGGTGAGATTACCTCCTCATCGCGCGCATCATGTCATCGCGGCGCTCGTCTGTCGTCTGCTACGCGCGTAGTCTGCTATGTGTGTCGTCTGACACATGTGTCGCCCGCTACGCGCACGCTACTGGTGATAGCAAGAAATTCAGTCTATCCAACAGGTGGCGAACCCTACATTACAAGCTCCGCCAATGTGCTCATCTGTTCCTAAATATTTGTTAAAACAAATAAAAATTGTGGGTTTTTCTTATATCAATCACGCCAGATTTGCTGAACCCGCTTCCTGTGAAATCTCTGTGACGAGGGCCGGGATCGTAGACTAATTGTCGGCTAGTGTGTCTGCCTATTAATGTAACCCTGACTTTGGTAACAACGCTCATAGCTCCGCGTTGTTGTTTTCCTTACCGTTATTGCCTTTTTGGTCCATTATAGTTCGATCTGCGCCGCTGACTGTTGAGTTCAGACGCCTTAGTTATTTGCCCATAAGACGACAGAAGTGCTTGCTGCAGCCGATTGCAGTAATGACGAGGTTCCGTCAGGAGTGTGCCTGTCAGAGGTCAGCAGCAGCAAGCTTTATTGCTCAATCAAAACTTAATCTTAACATTTATAAGCTGCTACCTGCCGTTGAAAAAGCTCACATCAATTGAAGCAGCCTCATGAACTGCTTCTATTTCCATTTGGTGGACAACAGCTGCCATCTTTGATGGCAGGCAGTCTTAGAGACTAGACCCAAAAACGCGTCTACTCTCAAGCGTTCCCATTCTGCTAGGAATGTGTTCCATAGCTAGTCTTCCATGGCCGAATAAATAGAAACCCGTGGCCTAGGCCGCCCTCATTCGGCCCACATGTTCTCAATAATGTTGAGAAAACTAAAAAGAGTGTGACACTGTATTACGCATCAAAATATTTGCAAGCTTATCGCATGGTTATGGGCTGACAATTTCAACTACACGCAGTTATCTCCCATGCCTTCACACGACACGCTACCCACAGCAGACAACGCGTGTAGCACGCAATGTGCGTAGCAGACGACGCACGAGCGCTCCAATGATGCGATGCGCACGATGAGACCATATTGCCTCAGCGGGCGCGATGCGCGTGCACTGAAACTTCCGCTCCGCGCCGCTAGGCTGGTCTGGTAGTATCATGCCACGCACTCCCGTGTTCCCGCTGACTCGAATCAAGATAGTACAGTCTGCTTCAGGCTTAAAGGGAACAATGTGCCAGTGGCGCGCTCTTTGCAGAGCGCCACCAATGGGAGCCAGCCAACCTTCAGCACAGGCACAGGCAATGCGGGGGAGCACTTCTGGCATCGCAATGCCTGCCATGACACAGAGTGCTGCTTGCCCTGCGGGTTCCTGAAGGTTAAAAATTTTTCAAGTGCCCTTTTCCGAAAAAAGAGAGAAGGAAGAAGGCCTTAAACACTGTTTTACGGTGTCCCTCTCTCCCCTTTGGCAGCAACATCAGTCATAACCGTCGCAGCAGTGCGCAGTGCAGTGGGAAATGATACAGAGACACCAGCACCTCTGCGCATTGTCTGTGCCTGTGCCAAACTTCCCTGCCTCCCGCAGGCAGCGCTGCGCATACCACGAGCCACAGACGTGCTGTTCCCTTTAGGCATGAATTAGACCATACACCTAAAACATAAATTAGTTGTACAACTATGTCTCCAACATTTCGCATGATCCTTAAGTTTCAGCTAGTTCATGTTAATATAAATTTGTAACCTCTTGTAAACAGGTGCTAATTGCAAAAGGAACTAAAGCTACATGACAATGACATTAGCTTTTTTACATGAAACAGACGATGCTAAGTAAGGTATGCCTCATGTTTCTTCTTTCTCAGAATGAATATTAGGCTAGCGTGCTAAGCCAAACAGACTGACACAATATGCTGCACTGTTATGTGGAGCAAAAACTTCTAATATTAATCATTTTGAACTGTAATCTGATTAGTAGACTTACGTAACAATGAACATTTAAGGAACGTGTCAAGCTATAAGGAATACTTTATTCCAATTAAAAAACAGAAAGAACTACTATGGGCTTCATTACAAACAGGAGAAAGTAGAAGAAAGGTTTCATATATGCAAATATCAAAATTGTCAGGCAAAGGTGCCACCCAGCTTTACAACCGGACAACAGAAATTGAACTCGCATAAATCTCTCACGAAAGAGGTCATGCTTTCCATTCTTATGGTCTCTTCCACAATATTTTTTTCCAAGTGTTTTCTGTTTTCTCAGTGTTTCAGTCAGAAGTGCATACAGAGAAGGAGAGCGCAAGCTTACTGCATCGTGTCAGTACCCTAACCGGGTATCGACCCCAGTTTGCGCCAGGATCAATCTTGTCCCTAATTGCATCCAGGAGGCGGGATCCGGCGAAATCTTTTGGCCACAGGCAACTCCACTTGTCAACCACCAACCAAGAAATTGGCACAGCGGACACATGGTCCTCCTCGGTGAAATTCACCACCGCATACTGCTTTGCCATTCTGCAGGGACAACAAAATTGTCATTTTGTTCAAGCTCTAACCATTAGTATCACAGAAAATGAGAAAAAATATTGGTGACACATATTATTACCAACAGAAGCACTCTCAGTGTCCAAAATCTTCATGGAAGTTTCCAAATTACAGAACGCGTCTCAATGTTTTCTTCCACGCAAACTGTGGATCGAAGAATAAGAACACAACTAGCTATCCTTTTCTTTCTAGGCTGTGTGAGCAATTGTTTTAGCTGATGCAGCACTTTCCGTGAAATCTATGGAACCTTTCTATCATATCTTAACTCGGAGTGGCAGGAGATGCAAGTTGGAACGACTGCACTAGCGACTAGTGCAAGACTAGTGCGATAGTGAGTTTTCCCTACTGAGACGGGGGGTAGGGGGGGGGGGGGGGGCCTCGGTGAGGTGGGTATACGCGCAGCAGACTGAATGCTGCTGCAGTCAGTTTAGCCTATGCTGGCATCGGGGCCCCAAGCTCGACCTGCGATAGCGAGAGGGCGACCACTGTATGCCCATCACACTACCGCGGCATTCGGGGTTCAGCGCGATTACCTACTTGTCCGAGCCACCGCTTTTGTTTCACCGTAGGCCAGTTGTGAGCGTATAACCATGCTGTAAGCAATTGCAGTGTTGACGGTCGGCGGGCAACTATGGACGCCGAATATTGCAATCCCACGGCGGTTCAGTTCCGAAAGCCTCGACAAACGCCGTGGCGAACACTGCCGATTCAAATTCGAAACTATGCGGAAGACGGCGCGGCCATCGCGCCGGACGTATATAAGCACTTCCAGTACCAAATTTGTAAATGGAAGCTTGCAATCGGCTGTAGTCTTTCAATTAAGGTCTAGGCCAACCAGGTAGAGGGGCTTAGAGAGCTCAACAGGCATTGCATTGCGCACCCAGAAATGACCCCCCCTCGGGCGCTGCCATCTTGGCCATTTCCATCGTCAGTCAAGTGACTTTTTCTGCTAAAAAGACGAAGACGCACGAGACTGCTGCGCTTTGAACTATTCAAAGCGTCTTTTTTAGCAAGGAGAACTTCAGCTGAAAGAGATTGAGGCGAAAGTGCCCAAGTCGATTCGCCGAAAGTTAAATAATGATGTACTGCCTTCAAAGTAGAGGGTGCTATAGTCACTTTTGATTAAGTGATTTAGGCGTCTGTTCCTCAGTAGCCCCCTAGTAAACCTTTCTTTGCCTAAAACCGACGCTTTGGGTAACTCGGACAGCAGATATTCTTTCTGTATCGTCACTTTTGCTAAAAAGTCACGTGACTGGCGGCGGACATGGTCAAGGTGGTAGCGCCTACGGGGGGGTCATTTTTGGACTTCCGGTTAAGCACTTTAAGCCCCTCACCTCGTTGGGCTAGGCAAGGAAGCGCTATTTATGAGTAAAAACCGATCAGTGGAACGAAACAAACTCCGGAGTTAACAACGATTTCTGCTCGCATGCACTACGCGAATAGTTCGCGTCAAAACACCTCGTACCACACTTGGTATTCCTTCGTCGGGCGTACCGATATTCGCAGGGGGATGGCACCACGTGATTTTTTTGAAGCCTAGTCATAAAAAAAAGTCGGCCCGGAAGTGGTGCGGTTGGCGGTATACTATAAAATTATACCTCGTTCGGTAGAATTTACGAACTGATTGGCGGAATTTAGACGGCGAGTTAGGCTAGTTGGTTGTTTGTGCCAAAACAACAGGGGTACAAGGATAGATGCGGACAGGACGAGGCGCCTCGTCCCGTTTGCATCTATCCTCATGTCCCTGTTGTTTTGGCGTTTAACTTTAAGCTGCTTTAAGCATGACGGACGAAACCGACGGAGGAGATGCGCGGCGATGCCCGAGATCCTCGACATGCAGAGTCTGCGAACCACCAAAGCGTGAAATCCGCGTGATAACGCAGAACACCGCTTGAGCAACAGTTTTGACGACGGAGAACGACATTAAAGGTGTAGTCTCTATCGAAGAATAACCTGGCAGAGTGTTCGCGATCGTGGCGGTCGCGCTTGATTTTGTGGACGCATTGTCTCTGGAATTTCCTAACCACGACCGGAGTGTGTAGTGTAGGAAATTGCAATAATCGGTCCGAGCAGACATTCGCCCACTGGTGTTTCGTTTCCTCGGTGAGTGCGTACACCCTTTGCTGATGAAACTTCAAAGTTGATATATGTCGCTTCCGAATATGCTCCCATTTCCCGATAGACGTCGTGTGTCGCAACCGATGGGTCGAGGCACTGTTGTGTCGCATATATTGTTTTATTTTTCGGAGCGTTTGTCATGTAAATAAAACACGTGAATTAAAACACTTCGAGACAAGTGGAACTAGGCTTTACTCGTGGTGACAAAATGAAGCCGCCTCCGCAAGGTAAGTTGATTGATACCCCACGAGTGCGTTTTCATTCCTGTTGGACCTTCCGAATTTTCGGCCGGACGCCTCACATCGCTTAAGTCAGTTCTCGTTGTCGAAGGCATCATAATGACAATGTCTGCTGCTCCAGTGTGCTTTCGCAGAATAAAGGTCCTCCTTTGTTGTGGAAACAGCTCGATAGAGTAAACTAAAGCGCGCGGAAAGACCGCTGCCCAGGGCCGACTTGATCGAATAGTCTCAGCTGAGACAGACTTAAAAAAGCACTGTCAAGGTTGGAGCGCGTGATGCGCGATTTATTTTTTGAGCGCTACCTTTGACAGCGCTTTCTTAACAGTATTTAATGAGACGCTGCTTCGAGTGAGCCGGCCCGTGTTTTAGCTTAGCCTCCTGGAGATTTACCAACAATGTATGTGCACCGCAAAGAAGTGCTTTAGTTCTGAAATTCCACATTTCAAGCTGTATCCGTAGCGGCTGAGGCAATACAAGGCAAAAGAATGATAAGCAGACGCTACAAATCCGACATCCACCGCCTCCGCGCTGGTTGCCAGGCCGCCCCCGAGATTACTGGAGATGCCGCGGGGCTAGGGGCTAGGGGCTAGGGGGGGGGGGGGGGTCTCCGATATGAACTAACCGGAGCCCGTCAAGGTTCCTAAAGGAAGCTCGTTTTGTACCTGCTAGAATTAGTTGAACCAAATCGAACAAAACCGGTCCTCTAACCCCGTCCATTGCTCGGACCGACGATTCGAGGTCAATACTACTTGTTCCTCGAAACATGTCTCGGCCGCAGTCCATCTCACCCGGGACAGCACTGATGAAAACAGAAGTGTGTTGTAATGCAAACGCGAAGATTAGAGATTGGTAATCGGTGATGATCCATTAAAAGCAAAAGTCCTATCGGACGAGCGCCGTCGTGTCCGGAACAGCATCTCCGATATCAACGTTGTACACCGCTATTAGGACATTAGAGGACATTATACTTACGCAAACAAGCCGTCTCTTCGCAGCCAAATGTTCCAGAAGACTTCGACACAGGTCACAGGTCGAGAGGAAAAGCACACCGATGATCGGCCGAGTCACAGTGGGCCGAGTAGCTTCCAGCACAACACGACACAATGAAACTAGCCCTAATGAAACGAGCCACGAGGCCGAGACCGGATGCGCTGTGACCGGATATACTGGGAAGGTGGCTGGGAGAAGCAAAGAACAAGGCATGAATAGACGTAGTTCTATGAAGTCATCAAGCCTAACGTAATCTAAAAGTTTTAGCGCGCCCTCTATGAACTGTTTATACAGTATTTTGCACTCTTTAGTTAGAAAGGGTAAACGCACAGGCGAGCTGGTGAAGTACTTCCATCTTAAACCGGAGACACGGCAAAATAAAAAAAAACGGACAACACAACAACTGTTGTTGTGTTGTCCGTTTTTTTTTTTTTTATTTTGCCGTGTCTCCGGTTTAAGATGGAAGTTCTAAAACAAGCAGTGCGCTAGTTGTTGTACGAGTAACCGAAATTTTTAACATGTATTTCTTGTGAAGCGAGACCGCTAAATCACGCAAAATTACGTGCTTCCAAATGTACTTTTTTTACATATATGGGCCAACGAGGTAGAGGGGCTCGTTGACATCACCGTTATTAGATCTAATAACGGTGGTTGACATGGGACCCGTATACAATGCCGCATGGACTACATTTAGGCATATGTCTAACAGAGTGAACGCCAATCAGTTTTTGGGCCTTTTGGGATCCGCGTTATGGGGAACAAATTTTGGAGGGGCCGGCTGGGTGTCGAAATCCGGCTTGGCTACGGTACTTACAATTCCTTCTTCAGGAAGAAGCGGTCTTTTTCTGGGAGGGCGAGGGCAGGGGTTACGACATTTTCAGTAACTTGTTGCATTCAAAAATATCAGCTCCCTTCCGTACCGCTCCTCGTGACCTCTGATGGCGCGAGTAATTCTTCGAACATAGGGGCAGCAATGAGCATAAATGGGCCCACCTCGGTCACATGGACATTGGCCGCATCCTGCATGTCTTTTCGTTGGGCTGCAACTTGCCTCAATGCGTCACGTCGTTCGCCTTCGGGTAGTTCGTGGGATTACCTTGCTCTTTCTGCCCCATGCGCGGTAATCCCGCATATGAAAAGAGCGCTCTCCTGTGTGTGCTTTTCTGCCCACAGATGCTTCCTGTTCTTTTTACTCAAAATAAACTTGTGGCCATGGCACTGTGGGGCTCTGTCGCCTGGTCCTTCTACGGCATGGTGCACGAAATACGTTATTATGTTCGCAGCACACCTTTGTTGTAGACTCAAATTTGATGGCCGAACCTCTGCGTACTTAAATGAAAGTCTCCTGGAAGCCTCACAATGTGGCCGACGTTCCGCTAAGAGACCTCTTCTTCAGACTTACGATTAAATTGCGATTAAATGCAAAGGTGCAAGCGAGCTGGACAAGAATGACGAAAATAATCCCTAAAGAAGGGGAACAAGAGGGACAAAGGACAAGGCCTTTGCGTGGTGGGAACTGTGATGCCTGAAACGCGTCTTCTACTGGCGCGTTTACTGTCCTATAGTTCCCATGTATCAAGTTGCTCGCGATGCGGAAACCCGACCACGTCACGTTTGTCATGCTGTCGGAAAGCCCGATCCTGGCGGTTGGTTAAAAAGTATCGGCAAAACATACTAACAGATGCAAGTGACGCTATCATCAAGATGTCACAATGGACCGATCCCACGACGGCCGCGGTGCATCCTGGAAGTTGTAGTCCTTTGTGGGTGCACCACGCCAGCACACGCCACACAAAGATGGCCGACCAATGTAGCGCTATATCCAGTGTGTGCGTGGCTGCGGCTAGAGCACTATATAGCTGTGATATAGCTCCTTCGGAGCTGAGTAGCGCAATCTAGAACGCCGTCTCTCGGCGACTAGTGGCGAACGCCCGGAGGTTCCAACTGCGGTCAGAAATGCAAGGAGAACGTGAGAAAATCGTTGTTTCTTCAGTTTTGTGGGGATGTGCGGAATGGAAATCATTTTTGACATAATAATTAAACATTTTAGAATAATATGCGATAAGTTTTGTGCCATACAAGGACGTAACTTTTTTTAAAAAATTGCCTGAGCGGCATCATGCAGCAGATGACGCGGCGACGTCACAACATTCACGTGACCCGCTCCGGCCAACCCGAAAAGCCCATCTCCGCTGCGAGCAAAAATCGTCTGCTTCAAACACCATTGCCTTGGAAATTGCCTTCTCAAAATTTGCACACGCATCCGATATTATTAAAACTTTGGTAAAGCGTTTAGCGCTTTACTAACTTCACGACAGGCTAGTTTTGAAAAATGTGAACTCGCCGTTACTTTTTTTAATCAGCCGTGTTATGTCGATCTCCATGTATTCTCCCATAGGGCGGGCCGTCTCCTGGAACCCTGAGTACCACGTGACTCGCGCCGAGCCGCTCTGTCGGCCATGTTGTCGGCAAAACACGGGGTTCAAAGGATTGCGCTACTCTGCTCCGTAGGAGGTATTTTTGGGCTACTTCTAAGGATGCGGCGAACTTTTGTCGAAACCTCAGTTTCGACGTGGAACTTTGAGGTTTGACTAGTTAATTTTTGAACTTCTTATCAGCTTCGAAAAAAATTGTATCTCTTTTGGCCATTCGATAGAAGAGAGAGGAAAGAGAACGGCTTTTAACTTCTACAAACTTCGTCGTTTTGACAATGCGCACAGAAGCAATGCTTGCACAGTTCAAGCGGTCTCCACAGTGCGCGGTGAAGCAAACCAAACAGTGGTAGGGCGTCCTCTACCCGGACCTAGACTAAACTCTGCAAAGTTCAAGCGTGCTTTGGTGCCCATTGAGAGAATCCTTAGGCACCCAAGTTCGTAAATATAAAGTCCGCAGTTTCACCGCTGAACAATTGACTACCTTCCAGTCTTCGCCCACCCCAAGAAAGGACAACACAATCAGAAATAGCGTGAACCGAAATGGGGAACACTCATATTCTACACAAAGAAAAAGAGACGGGTAGGATATTGGTAAGGACCTTAGATATTGTGATCCCTGTTTGAAACACCAAGTGTTACCGTTCTGCTTCTGTATTCTGTTCGTTTACTGTAATGATCATATCCCGGGCCTCACGATAAAACTGTCTTTGTGTGTTTTGTACTTCTGAAGACCTGCGAAGGAGGTGACAGTTTTGTTTTCTTCCTTCCGAAGTGTTTTTTTTTTTTTTTTTTTTTAAATTCGCAAGTGACATAATGTGCACAAAATGTGGCGCATCTGGGGCTTGAAAAAGATAATGTAACGTGCCTTGTATGTGTGTGAAAAATTGTCAAAAAAGGCTTAAAAACCATTGTTTTTAGTTTTGGCTATATTTGGGCTATACCACCCAGGCGTTTGGCGGTTTTTTGTTGGGACCATCTGGCAACAACTTGCGTCTGCACCACAGTGGTCTGCGCCTCTGTTCTGTTGTGGCTCGTATTTCGCCGTGTTAAAGACTGCATTTGGTGCGCTACTTCCTGATAATGAACAAGTGGCGTAAGTACCGGAAGCTCAAGAAGGACCATGAGCAGCTCATGGCGGATCTTCAAGCTGCAAGCTGCAAGAAGCCGAGAACGGAAGGCGGTTTGACGGGCAATGCCGTTTCCAGCGATGTTGCGCGCTCTGATAAACCTGCAGCCGGAGGCGTTTTCCAGTCCAGTGAAGCTGGCTGTTCGGGTGACTTGGAAGTCCAGGTGCAGTCGGCGAGCTTTGAAGTCTCGAGATCTGACGTGCTGGCGAGTTCTTCAGAAAATGATTCGTCGGAAGACGATACGAGCGATGAGTACCAGTCAGAGGAAAGCGCTGACCATAACTCGGAGCCACCAAACGGCAGCGCGAATCCGAACGCTGTCACTACGTCGTCATCCCAGCCGCATGAACTCTCGGCATGCGACGAGCTCGCAAGTATTGCTGGGAAGCACAACATGAGCCACGTATGTCTGAACGATGTTCTTGCCTTTTGTCGGCGTCGAGGCATTGCCGGACTACCCAAAGACGCGCGGACTGTGTTGTGCACAGAACGGAAGTCCCGACTAGAGCAATGTGACAAGTTTGTGCATTTCGGCTTAGAAGAAGGCATCCGTCAGTCATTGCAAGGCTGCCCCATTCCTAAGGAGATTAAGCTCCAAGGGAACATTGACGGTCTGCCCCTGTTCAAAAGCTCACAGGTGAGCTTCTGGCCCTTATTATGCCGGATAACGAATTTGACCCCTCTGCCGTCACCTTTTATGGTCAGTTTATACTGCGGCACAGGAAAGCCCGCAAGCTCACAGTGCATGGCATGGTCTTCAAGGGGAGCCACATCACTGTCAGCATCACGGCCATGGTGTGCGACGCACCCGCAAGAAGCTTTATCAAGCAAATAGTTGGGCACACTGGCTATCACGCCTGCGAACGGTGCAGTCAGAGGGGCCTGCATCTCGAGGGTCGAATGACATTTCCTGATTTACACTCACCACAACGCACCAACGAGTCGTTCCGGTCTCAGGAAGACGAGCACCATCACACGGGAACGTCGCCATTTGAATCTTTAGATGTCGACATGGTGTCATGGTTTCCTACGGAGTACATGCATCTCGTCTGTCTTGGCGTTATGCGGCGCCTTCTGAGAAACTGGGTTAGCCAAGGGTTCGGGAGACGCCTAAGTCGACAGCAGCGTGAAAATTTGAATGATTTACTTCGAAGTTGCAGTAAGCGTTTCCCCAGCAACTTTCAAAGGAAGCCAAGAGGCACTGAGGAACTTGACCGGTGGAAGGCCACAGAGTTTCGAAGCTTCCTCTTGTATGTGGGACCTGTGGTTTTGAAGCATGTGTTGCCAAACGATCAGTACCGTCACTTTTTAATGCTGCATGTGGCAGTGAGAATTCTTGTATCTCCTGCACATTACGAGGTTTATAACGGATTTGCCAGGGACCTTCTTAGGTACTTTGTGCAGGAGTTTGGCACCTTGTATGGCGCCAAGCAGCTCGTTTACAACGTGCACACGCTCAGCCATCTGGCTGAGCAGTGTTTGGACCATGGCCCTCTTGACAGTTTTAGTGCGTTTCCTTTTGAAAGTTTCCTGGGTAAGGTTAAGAAAATGCTACGTTCAACAAGCAAGCCTTTAGCGCAGATCAGCAGACGAATGTCTGAAGTCAGACATTTGTATCAACCTGAGATTTCGGAACCGAAACGCATTGTCAAAGCAGGTCAGTGCTTCATGCTGAACGAGTCTGCAGTTGTCGTCTTGAAGCTCCTTGAAGACAGGTTCAAGGCAAGCATTCTGCCAAACATGACAGATTTTTTTGAACTGCCGATCAAGTCGTCCGCCATCGGCATCTGGCAGTGCGATTCCCTCACGCACGTGCCTAAAATGTACAACCTTTCCGAACTTGACACCGCTGTTCAATACCTCAGACTGGACTACAAAAGCAAACATGTCATCCTTCCACTTCTACATCTGCTGTAGGCCTTTAACATAGCTTTTGTAGCTTCTTTGAGGCCCTCGTATGATTTCCAACCTCTGCAGGCTGCATTCTGAAAGGCCTCTGGCAATTGAACTGTGCGCTAGTGTCAGCAGTTAAGCTGACAGTTATGTTTTGTGGGCAACAAAATTGCCGGATGTTGATCAGGACTCTTTTGAGCTGACAGAGCTTTCCCAAATGCTGTGTGGAAGGCCTCAAGCAGATGAGCTGTGCATTGCTGCTGGCATTCGAGCTGACAGTGCGGTGTTGTGTGCAACAATGCTGCCAGGCGTCCGTCAGAGCTCTTCTGAACTGTGCAAGGAATCTTCCAAGTGCAGCATGCAAGGTGCCAACCCTTCAAACTGTGCGTTTCTGCGAGCATTTGAACTGACAGTGGAGTGTTGTGTGCAGCAGTGCTACCAATCGTCACTCAATGTCCTTTCAAGCTGTTCATGAAGCCTGCCAAGCGCATTGTACAGGGCATCAAGCAGGCGACCTGCGAGTGGTTGCCAGTGTTTGAGCTGACGGTGAAGTGTCATGTGCAGCGGCACTGTCAGGCATCAGTCGACTCTTGGAGCATCTCCAGGTGTATTTTGTGCCCTGTGTGAACTTCTATACTCTGTCTCGCCCTAAGCTGGACTAAGCAATGAAGCTACAGGCCAAGGGGGCCAATCACAAGCCCGTTGGATGGTGCTAATCCTGCATGTGCTGTTAGGCTAGTTTGTTCCTTAGTTTAAGTTCAACTTAAGTCTTGTACTGTGGCTTGGAATTCGATTAGATTTGACATGACACATAGAAAAAGGCACAAAAGCGACCTATTCATATTATTTATGATGAGTACTTTGGAAGCCTATGTACTTATGAGTATAAATACATCCTTAAAATACTTTCCCTGCAGAACCTATAAAAAAGAATTGCTTACAATGCATTATTTTTATGTAGAACCATTCATGGCCTTCTGGATGGTGATTTTGCATAATTTCTTAATTTTCATGCATTGCCTTCTGATTTTAGGGGCTGTTATGTGTTTTACTTTCTACTCATGTGAAATTTTCTCCGGTTGTTCGAATGCAAATGTGTGTTAACAGATTATCCCCTGCTACTGATGTGCTTTCTGATCTCGTTATATTCATGCAAAGTGGTGCGCTATGCTAGTTCGTACAAGTGAAGCATGATTAAACAGGTGTGACGGACAAGGGCAAGGCATGTTTGTGTTCTGTCCTTCGTCATTGTCCGTCACGCCTGTTTGATCACGTTTCATTGTATTCAAACGTGGAATGGACCTGGATCTTTTCATTAATTTATTAATCCTTAAGGGCCCTCTGTTGAGGGCATGGCTGACCAACAGCGTTATGTTGGTCAGCCATCTTAATACATGTCTCATGCTGTAGATGGGCAATTTGGCCAGTGCTGTACAATTGCGATCCTGGGGTCTTTAACGTGCATCACCAGTATGTGATTACACGAGCGCAGCCGGTACGATGCTCAGGTGTGGACATACTCTGTGCAAGTGGACAGGTAGTTTTGATTGTGTTTTTCAATTTTTTCTTTGTGCCTCTACACCAAGACCTATTGGTTGTGTGGGGCATTAGATAATAAAACTAAAATAATAATAATGAGAGAACATGCGTGGAGGAGAAAGATGAGCTTCATGGCACCTATATATCGTCTCTGGCCTACCACAGGGTCCGTCGTCTCTGGCCATGAATCATGGTGGCCGAGGCTTGGATGTGTTATCTCAAGGTGAATACCTTCCCATCAAGTGAAAGAATGTACCCTTCTGGGTATTTCCGCTTCTCTTTTCTGTATGCCGCATCCTCACCCAACATCACCTCGCCCCTGAGGTGGCAGTAAACTTCCAACAACTGCAGAAAAGGCAAAGAAGCTGTAATAAAAGACCTGCTGGAGAGCGGACATTGTTTGCCCTATCCTCCCAGGAGCTCGGCCTGACGTCACACGACTGTCTGCTCTGCATAACTAGCAGACAAGCTCACTTCCCGCATATGCTCTTCGAAACTAGCCTTTATTTGGGACAACAGTAGCTTACGTCCAGAGATCTCATGAGAAAATGTGTCGGAGTGTACTGCAGGTGGGTGACTGGTGGATAGATATCTCGGGGATGGATATCACAATCGTTTAGCATTGGAAAAATGTGGACCTTACATGGATCTCTAACAAGTATGAATTCTTTCACATTCTTTGAACTTCTGTGTAAAATGGTTATATAGCCTAAAACTGCATTTATATAAAGCATGTGGAGTTTTGTATAGCCACTTGCACAGTTCCACGGAGCAGACACTCGCTATGTAATAAGCCCCGCCGGTGCAACTGGTCATGCTATTTTGTGAGACCTGTTACCGTAAAGTAACCCTGCCAGCGCTTCTGTGCAGCAAAACTCCTTCTGAAGACTGAACTTTGATAGTGCTGCCTCAGAGCTTTTATTTTTCTCTCTCTCTCTCTTCTGAGCCACACTCACTTGGTTAAACTGAAATTGCGACAGAACTCAGCCTGGTATATTGAGGCCAAAATGCATAATGCCTATACGTGCAGCAAGTGGGCCCATTTTGGTCTGCTGCAGTTGAGCGAGGAAATGTGGAGGCGAGACAGGAGCTTCATAGTGTCTTCGGGTTCCGCGTCTCTCGGCAAAACTCATGGCGGCCGAGACTTGTGCATGTCCTCTCACAGTTAACTGCTTCACGTCAGGGTAAATAACCTACTTTTCGACGTATTTCTGCTCTTTTTGATACACTTTGTCCTCATCCCTAAAACGGCAGTAAATTGCCGACAGGCGCCGAAAAGGGCTGGCCATTGCTGCGACCTGCCACAGACCAGACGACAGAAAATCAAGCATACGACATTGGCGTGACGCCACGGCGGCTGTCGTTTGCTGTGCGCGCCTAGCAGACAAGCTTGCTCGCCGCGTAAGCAAGGGGTTGTGGACAACGCAATAGTAGTTTCGTTAGATTGAAAATTTTGTAGCATTGAACTTGCTATGTCCACGTTTGACTGTATTCTCATACTCTAGACTTAGTCAGGCAACAGGAGCTAGGCTGATTTTCTTCAGTAGCTTGTACTGTCATGTAAAGAGACTGCCCGAGCAACAAAAACAATTGTGGCACAGATTAGCAAGCAAAGGACAGCCCGCTAGGGACGATGTTCCCATGGTCGTGTTTAGCACGTGTGCCAGCTGCTTTTGTCGAATCAGGTCAAAAGGAAGCGGCAAGTATACGTGGCAGTCGCGACAGCACCCCGAGGATTAGGCCCAAGCAGATGACACGCGCTGTGGCGCCACCTACAATGCTGTGCGCTCCGAATTTCGGCAGGTGCCGAAAATTGACACTGCGTGAAGTGCGAATTAAGGGCGTACCACGCGTACCACTTGTACGAACCATGCACAGAATTAATTTTTTGAATGGTTGTCGTTAACCTTTTTAATGGTCCTATCCCACCAGTGGTTGAACTGTGTCCACGAAGGAGTTGCGATTATCGGTAATACCAGAGTTTTGGACAGTTTAGTCTGGCAACGGTTGTGTCACGTTCCAGTACCCACTTTAGTCAACAATCCAAATCGATATGACCCGAAATTGAGACAATATTGGCAGAATAATGGCTAAAATTGGAAATAACGGCCCGATTTAGCCGATATGACCCGATATTGAGCCAAATATTGGCAGAATAATGGTGAAAGCAGGTAATAATGGCCCGATTTAGCCGTTATTGAGCCAATATTGGGGGAAAACGGTTAAAATCGGCAATAACGGCCCGATTTAGCCGATATGACCCGATATTGAGCCAATATTGACAGAACAATGGTTAAAATTGGCAATAACGGCCCAATTTAGCCGATATAACCCGATATTGAGCCAATATTGGAAGAATAACGGTGAAAATCGGCAATAACGGCCCGATTTAGCCGATATGACCCGATATTGAGCCAATATTGGCAGAATAATGGTTAAAATGGGTAATAACGGCCCGATTTAGCCGATATAACCCGATATTGAGCCAACATTGGCAGAATAATGGTTAAAATTGGCAATAACGGCCGAGCAAACCAAGTTTCACCCAACATTTGCCAATATTGGCCATAAAATGGCAAACCTGGTCCAACATTGGACCAAGCATGCCTGGCTTGGCCCAATATTGGCCCAGTGTGGTGTGCTACCTGGGTACTGTACAATTCTTGTTCTGTATTTTTAGATTTCTAGTATTTCTATCTAGTTCTTAATAACCTGTGATGCTTACTCTACGCCTCAGATGCCTTAATTTAAAAAAAAAAAACCGAAACTAGCCCATTACCCAAGGGGTCATATGCTTCGCCAGTAACTTGTACATGAGTTTCTGCTAACAAAACGAATTGAACTGAATATTCGGTGTTTATCGATACATACAGAAAAGACAGAACCCTATAGTTATAAGCGATGTTTGACTGTACGCTCTCCTTTTGTTTGTTTAGGGATGAGGTTTCCATGTCGCCAAGTGACCTGCAATTTTATGTGCAAGAAGACCGGTCACAAGAAAGGCCACTGCAAAAAACGCGGAAGACACGGAAAGAACGTCTGCGTCTGCCAAGATTAGACAGGAGGACAGCCCTCTGACTGCATCAAACAGAACATACTTGTGAGTTCAATACGGTCAAATAAAGCGTTGCATAACTGAAACAAAAGAAGAGGACTAAATTTTTTTTTGCGTGAATTCGCTAGTTGGTCAATGAATTTTTTTTTCGTTTCTCAGTAGTTAGAAAAAACACTTTATATATCGCCTACCTGAATACAAATCACGATTTCGTCCCAGGCAGCACTCAGCATTGCACCGATATTAGCGTCAAATCAGGAAGATTGTGCGGATACCATTTTGATCCAGCCGATATCTGTAAAGTATCGGATGGGCCGCGCCGACGCCATCCTGACATACCGTATCAACGACCGTTTTTCGTTGAGTATGGGGAGTGTCGTCTGTGAATTGGCTATGCTGACCAGGTATTCGGATTTTTTGACCAACTCAAAACCAAGGTTGAAAAAAAAATTAAATATGAAATAGGCAAAACGGAATCTGCTGATTTTTAGGCCAAGAAGAAAAAACAAAGCAAACAGAGGGAGCTTAGCTGTATTGTCTATCACCCTAAGACCTGGCCGTTTATTAAGTCTCCCCGCCTTCTTGTGTCTTCGTGTGGCTGCGAATGAGCACGACGGCTGCTTCAAGCAAATCAGAGGGTTGGCGCGAAACACGTGATCACTCTCCGCAGGGCAAAATTGCTTTGATGAAAATTTGTCACGTGACTCGCTCTCACGCGATCGCTGGGGCCGTAGCCTTCGCCGCTTGCCAAGTTATGGAGATTGGTATAGGGGGCACTTAGATACTGTTTCCGAAATGCGCTTTTCAGTGTAATTTTACGTTCGTGCGTTGCAGACGCCGTTTTGATACCTTCGATAGCCCCGATAACAATACAATGTACGCGAAGGCGTTGGCGGAGTATCGGGTATCATTATCGTAGTGATCGGAACAATCTATTAACTCTCTTATCTTTACGGTCTTTCGTGTTTGATTTATGAATTCTGCTTGGCATAAAAACAGTGTAATTCCATTTATTAAAGCATAAAATGTGTGTAATGGTAGCGGGCGCCTCCTGATTGGACCGGGGCACGTCTAACTGCCACTGCGACCGCTGTCGCGATGTGGGCAGATGTCTCGGAGAGGATGGTGTTGTATCTAGGAGACCTGGGCTGGTCGTGGCCGCCTCGTCTGATGATGAGGACTTACGTGCTTGGGCTACCTCGCGTGGGTCATAGCGTAGTCCAAAGCTGGGACCCGCCGGTGAATGAAACGACGTATTTCTCAGTCAGGCTCAGAACGAGAGTGCTTCGTCTTTCTCTTTATCTCGTATTCCATGCACAGAATGGGCGGCTGATATCACGCGCTCACCGCCCACATACGCGATACGGTAAATTTTAATCCCAACAGATGGTCCGCAGCTCTCTCTGGGTCTGCGTCCGATTGTTGTGCAAGGCCAACTCAAGGCGAGCACTGTACGTAGCCAAGAGATGTCCAACATAAGTAGTCGTCTTATGGTCGTCCTCGGACTTAGCACCGACGGTGAACGAGGGTCGCAACAACAGGACCCGTCTTCCTCGTGGGAATAAATGGTGTTTATCCTGGAGCAAAGAAACCCGTTTGGCTTGGCGCGGATCTCGTCGGCAGCTGGCCTTGCTCAGAGGGCACTTCCCTTTATAAGGGTGAGGCTTCCTGGCGGCGACCTCCTTCGCTCCCAGCGCTACGTAAGGTGGAAGCGAGAGGGGCCGTCGGCAGGGTTGCTGTCAGTAGGTGTGCAACAAAGCCAGCTAGCCATTCTTTATTGTTAGGAGAAGCGTACAGGTGAGTGCCACAAACGAAAAAAAAAAAAAAAACGTATGCCCGTGGCGCGAGTAAGTGCGTGGACAACTGCTTGGATGTCGGAAAAAATGAGAGTTCTTAAGGGGAGGGGGGGGGGGCGAGGGGTGCGGGACAAGGCGAGTACCACAGCCCACAACCCTCTCTGGAAGATCGGAGCCGGTAACGAGGTGATGACGGCAACGTTGCCCTGGGACAAGTACACACCCAGGCCCGTGGAGCTGGCGTCGGCGTAGGCATCTTGTTTCACCGGGACGATGTTCCATGACACCCGGGTTGGTTGTCGCGGATAGACTTGGTGAAAAAGAAAAACCCTGTCTTGTGTGGCTGGATGGCCGGTGGCCGCGGCGAGGCAGAGTGGTCTCGCGGCATGAGAATCCCCAATAAACTGCGAAAAATAAAATTTCCACAAGCAGGAAACTCTTTGATAGACCTTCAAGGACTGGGGGTTCGAAGGACGTCCAAGGTCAAGAGAAGGTCACCGTTTTTGTAGCCAGTCCGGCCGTGTTCAGTTGCGAAATCTTCCTGCTATAGGAGCCGCACCGTGGCGCCACTGTCTTGTCGCACGCTTCCAATGCGGAGAGCAAGTCGTCTGCTTCTTGCGCAGGAGTTGCGGTGATGTGGGAACGACCTTGAGTTTTGATCGACTTTGATTGAAAGGATGGTTGATAGACCTCGATGCTAGATGCCAGGAGGGATTAAAACTTGTGTTTGGGCGAGTTGGTTCATATTGACTCTAAAGGTTAAAAAGCACAACAAAACAGGGACAATAAAGACACAAAGACGACAGGACGGGCGCTAACTCAACACTGATTTTATTAGAAAAACCACTGTCACTTTTATACACAAGATCGTATGCCAAACCCACACTGCAACCAATCACCACACTGACAAGCAGCTATCTAGAAACATTACTTCTTCCGGGAGCAAAAAGAGAGAAGGCATGCTAACGCATTTGTCATCTTTCCTTTTGATATAAAACGCCCCTATAATCTCTCTCTCGGTCTTATCTTTTGATTTATTTAAAAACTTTGTTTCAGCCAAAAGAGGCTTACGGTCAGCACATCGCCTGCAGTGGTCTGCCAGGTGTTCACCCGCGTTGTTGCGCACAGAAAGATTATGCTCACGTGCCCCCTCGTTAAAACAGCGGCCGGTTTGTCCAATATAAACTTTTCCACAGCTTAATGGAATCTCGTATACAACATTGGTCACACATTCAGTGTACTGTACAGCGTGCTTCTTAGAGCACAGTGTTTTTTTTTCTGCCGTGTAAGCATCGAACAAATTTTTGAGAGCTTGCAAGGGGCTGAAAAAACAACATTTACATCGTATCTACTAGCTATCTTTTTAATGTTGTGAGACACTTTATGCCAGTAAGGAATCACATGTACACGTCTTTTAACTTTATTTGTCTGGCTGCCCCCTTGTAAGTTCTTTTTATTTTTGAAGTAGGCTCTCACAGCAACTCGAAATTAGGTTAGGTGGGTACCCTACGTTTTCTAACCTTTTTACTTGCTGAGCAAAACTGATGTCCATCTGATGTTTGCAACTTTGTGCAAGAGCTGCCTGAAGACATGTTAACGCGATACCTCTCTTGACCAGTTTGGAATGTGCACTTTTGTAAGAAACAAGGCTTTTCTTAGAGCGCGGGCTATACTTCCAACAAACATTGTCGTCGGAAAATATGACCATAAGGTCCAAAAACCGAATGCAGTTCAGCACGGGCATTTCCCATGTAAACTTAAGTCCACCTGACGCTTCTTTAAGAACATCAACGACCCCGCAACAACCTCATCCATACTCGAATTTGTGTCTAAAATGAAAAGATAATCGTCAACATATCTGAAGACTTTAACTACATGCAAATCAGGTAGGCATTCCAGAATGCATCTGTCCAATGACGATAAAAATATATTACATAAAACAGGGGCAACCGACGAGCCTATACAAACACCAGATTTCTGTACAAAGAAACGCTCATTGAAACTGACGGCAGTGGACTGGAGGTAAAAGACCAACAACTCTAAAAAATGTTCACTACTAACGCCCGCAGAACTTGGAAAGTTGACCTCTCCCGACTTGTCTATTTTATCCCGAACAGATCGGAGTAACCTGTCGTGAGGCACAGAATAATAGAGGTCCTCAACATCTACAGAAAAAGTCGAGAGGGCGTTTTTACACCCGTCTCTAAACACGTCAATGACTTCATCCGAGTTTCGTACAAGGAAAGGGTCCTCCAAAGCCAAGGTTGCCAGGTGGCGCTGCAGATAACGGCTAGCCATAAACTGCCACTTGTTCCTCTCAGGCACAATGGCTCGGAAGGGACAATCAAGCTTATGCGTTTTTCCTGTGAAGAACACTTCCAAAAAAAATTACTTCCCACTTTTTCGGCTGCTTTCCTCAAACTTTCCAAATTCAAAACTTTTAGCATCTTAAGAGCCGGAGTTTTTTGCGACTTCGGACGGAGCTTGATTTCCCTGAAATTCTTAGCTATCTCTGACAACGCCCTCTCTTGGAAGAAACCTTTCGGGCAAAACGACGAAACGGCCCTCCTTATCAGCCTGGACTAGGGATAGATCATTTTGTTTTAAAAAACCCACAACTTTTTCAAAAGGGAGGCTTCGTCCTAGGAAGGTGACTCACAGTGTCTTTGAGGAAGTCCACACCATCGCCAATCGCACGCTCTTTCTGCTGTTCACCGGCATGAATGGCCACTCGTCGTTTCCGATCATGCCGGTGGACAGCACAAAGATCGTGCGATTGGCGATGGTGTGGACTTCCCCCGAGACACTGTGGGTCACCTTCCTAGGACGAAGCCTCCTTTTGAAAAAAGTTGTGGGTTTTTTAAAACAAAATTATCTGTCCCTTGTCGAGGCTGATAAGGAGGGCGGTTTCGTTGTTTTGCCGAAAGGTTTTTTCCAAGAGAGGGTGTTGTCAGCGATAGCTAGCTATGAATTTCAAGGAAATCAAGTTCCATCCGAAGTCACAAAACACTCGCGCTTTTTAGATGCTAAAAGTTTTGAATTTGGAAAGTTTGAGGAAAGCAGCTAAAAAAGCGGAAAGTAATTATTTGGAAGTGTTCTTCACAGGAAAAACGCATAAGCTTGATTGTCCCTTCCGAGCCATTGTGTCTGAGAAGAACACGTGGCAGTTTATGGTTAGCCGTTATCTTCAGCGCCACCTGGCAACCTTGGCTTCGGAGGACCCTTTCCTTGTACAAAACTCGGATGAAGTCATTGACGTGTTTAGAGAGGGGTGTAAAAATGCCCTCTCGGCTTTCTCTGTGAATGTTAAGGACCTCTATTATTCTGCGCCTCACGACGGGTTACTCCGAGCTGTTCGGGATAAAACAGACGAGTCGGGAGAGGTCAACTTTCAAAGTTCTGCGGGCGTTAGTAGCGAATAGTTTCTAGAGTTGTTGGTCTTTTACCTTCAGTCCACTGCCGTCAGTTACAATGAGTGTTATTTGTACAGAAATCTGGTGTTTGTATTCGCTCGTTGGTTGCCCCTGTTTTATGTAATATATTTTTAACGTCATTGGACAGACGCATTTTGGAATGCCTACCTGATTTGCATGTAATTAAAGTCTTCAGATATGTTGACGATTATCTTTTCATTTTAGACACAAATTCGGGTTTGGATGAGGTTGTTGCGGGGATCTTTGATGTTTTGAAAGAAGCGTCAGGTTGACTTAAGTTTACATGGGAAATGCCCGTGATGAACTGCATTCGGTTTTTGGACCTTATGGTCATATTTTCCGACGATCATGTTTGTTGGAAGTATGGCGCGCGTTCTAAGGAAAGCCTCGTTTCTTACAAAAGTGAACATTCCAAACTGGTCAAGAGAGGTATCGCGTTGACATTGTATCGGTGTTGCGCGGGCGCTCGAGCAGCAGCTCGGAGCCTGGCGCGGGCTCATGACATAAAGCACGAGATTCAGTTCTCTTCTGGTACCGAGATGTGTGGACTCACAAACAATACATGGTGCCGAAACCCGACTGATATCTGACCGGGCGAACCTTGAAGTCCAATATGGAGATGCTGAAACCACCGGAAGGTTTATCGTTCTCAGGGAACGTCGGAGACAACTGGAAACGATTCCTTCAACGAGTGGAGCTCTTCCTTGAAGCGACCGGGTCTGATCCAGAGGTTCGAACAGACAGGCAGAAGATAGCTATCTTGCTGCACGTCGCGGGACCTGAAGCTGTCGACGTCTTCAACACATTCACTCTCACGGAAGAACAAAGGGAAAGCTTCGAGGCGGTAGTTTACAAGTTTCAAGATTATTGTGCACCGAAAGCTAACGAAACATTCGAACGCCACGTTTTCCGCAAGTCGATCCAGATGGAAGCTCAGTCATTTGAAAACTTTTTGAGAGACGTTAAACTCAAAGTGCGCTCGTGTAATTTCGGCGACCTGACAGATTCTCTTGTGAGAGATCAGATTGTCGATGGCGTCAGAGATCACAAACTGCGGGAACGTCTGCTGAGGGAGGATGACCTGACCCTTGAGAAAGAAACGAGAATCTGCAAAGCTGCAGAGAATTCGTTGCAACAAGCGAGGATGTGGATGGATCAGCACCCGACACCAGTAGAACAATTAGATGCCATGCAAAAGAGTGAAAAAAGTGCGTCACGTCTGCGATGTCGAAAGTGCAACCGATTTCACGCACCAAGCCGATGCCCAGCTTTCGGCAAGAAATGCAATTTGTGCGGAAAGAAAAACCATTTCGCGATATGTTGTGACGCAAAGCCTCAAGATGAGCAAAGCAGTCGGCGAGTGGAGGAAGTAGAAATACCGTCAGAAGATAACTTTGAGATACTCCAAGTCGGCGAGTCCAGGAAAATCGCTGAGAAAGACTGGTTGATCAAGGTAATGATTGAAAAGGTGCCTCTACAGTTCAAGGTAGACACCGGCTCCCAAGTCAATCTTCTCCCGCTGTCACTCCTCTGAAGCGCCAACTCCAGGCAGCACCTGATACCAAGTCCGGCAGTGTTACAAAGCTACAACGGCAGCGCTATCGGCCACCTTGGAAAAGCCAGACTCATGCTCAAGTTCCAAGGAAAAGTTGTTTCCGCCGAGTTTTTTGTCGTCAAGAAGAACAGGCGTGCACTTCTAGGATTGCCTACTTGTGAAGAGTTAGGCTTGGTGAACCGTGTGCACGAGATCGCCACCATCACGAATACTGAATCCGAAGTTCAGCGAGAATTTCCAGCACTGTTTGAAGGCATCGGGAAAATTCAACGTCCATACAGCATCTCTTTTAAGGAAGGCACAGTGCCTGTCGTTCAACCCACCCGTAGGCTACCTCAAGCCCTCATGGAGCCGCTGAAGCAAGAACTGAACCGCATGGTGCAGGCAGGAATTATCACAAGAATGAAGGAGCCCTCAGACTGGGTAAGCCCCCTAGTCTTGGTGAAAAAGAAGAACGGCAATTTAAGGGTATGCATGGACCCACGAAGAATCAATGAGTGTCTGAGGCGTGAGCATTTCGAAATGCCGAGAAGGGAAGATATACAAGCTGAGCTTGCTAGCGCCACAGTGTTTTCAAAGCTTGATGCGCGGGCAGGCTTTCACCAAATCCCGTTGACTGACGAAACATCGCGAGTTTGCACATTCGGCACCCCTTTTGGACGATACCGATTTTTGAGGTTGCCATTTGGATTCGCTTCTGCGCCAGAGGTATTCCAGCGTGCGATGTCTGAAATTTTTGAAGGACTGAAGGGGGTACGTGTTTACATTGATGACGTGCTGGTCTGGGGAGCTACGCAACAGGAGCATGATGATCGGCTGCGATCAGCTCTGCAAGCTGCACACAGCGCAGGCCTGACGCTAAACTCAGAGAAATGCCAGTTTGGAATTCCAGAAGTAATTTTCCTTGGGGATGTAGTGAGCAAAGAAGGTATCAGGCCTGATCCGAGTCTTTTAGAAAATATCGTGAAGATGGATGCACCCACAAACAAGGAAGCTCTCCAGCGCATGCTTGGCGTTATAAATTACTTTGGAAAATACTTAAAGAGTTTATCCGAACGTACAGCAAATCTTAGACAACTTCTTCGCGAAGATGTACTTTTTGAGTGGACAGCGGCTCATGACAATGAGTGGGAGCAATTAAAACTCATGCTGACCAGTGCTACAGTCCTCGCACTTTTTGAACCTAGTAGACCCACAAAACTGTCGGCTGACGCGTCTACAGATGGACTCGGAGCGGCCTTATTGCAGCTGTACGACAAGTTGTGGCGCCCTGTAGCGTATGCCTCCCGATCACTCTCGGACAGCGAATCACGATACTCTCAGATTGAGAGGGAGGCGCTTGGGCTGGTATTTGGATGTGAGAGGTTTCACCACCTCACATATGGTAGACACATCCTTCTCGAGACTGATCACAGCCCGTTGGTCGCTTTATCAAAAAAAAAAAAAAAGACTGGGGGATGTTCCCCCTCGCCTACAACGTTTCTTTTTGAGACTGATGAGGTACGACTTCACGCTACAGTTTCTACCTGGCAGAAAGCTTGTGCTAGCTGACGCTTTGTCAAGAGCTGGGCAGCATAGTCCTCATCACAAGCAGGGCTTGGAGGATGTTGAAGTACACGCTGTGGGAATGCTTGCCGCACTTGTGAGCGAGACAACACAGGACAGACTCAGAACTGAAACACAGAGGGACCCTGAGTTACAACACGCTCTTCACTGTCTAGAGAACGGGTACCCACTGCAAGGCAACTTCAGCTCACTAGACCCTGAACTGTCGGTGGTCAATGGAATCATTCTTAAAGGAACGAAGGTGGTGATCCCTTCGTCACTTCGGCGAGTTATGTTAGCTCGGGTCCACCAAGGGCACTTAGGTGTAAACAAATGTAAAGAAAGGGGACGCCAACTCATGTTTTGGCCCAAAATGGCACAGGACATTCACACCTTTGTTGCGGAATGCGCGACATGTAAGAAGTTTGCATATCAGCAACCCCGCGAACCACTAATGATGCGCGAGCCCCCTCCTTACGCATGGTATCGTGTTGGCATTGACTTGTTTGCCTATGGAGGTTACTGTTATTTAGTTGCGTTTGATGCGTATTCCAACGACCCAGAGGTTGAAAGACTCCAGGACACCTGTTCGCAAACCATCATCCATACATTGTCAGGCTGGTTCGCAAGGCACGGCATTCCAATAGAAGTTTGCTCAGACAATGGGCCACAATTTTCATCTTCCGAGTTTAAACGGTTTTCCAGGGTTTATGACTTCCATCACGTGACATCAAGCCCCCACTTTCCGCAATCCAATGGTCTTGCTGAAAAAGGGGTACAAATTGCAGAGAGAATTTTAAAGAAATGTGATGATGCAGGGGAGGATTTTTTTCTCGGTCTCTTGAACTATCGGTGTTCTCCTTTGATAGGAGGACAGTCTCCGGGAGAGTTGCTGTATGGAAGAAAACTGCGAGCACAACTTACTGATTTCTCATCGCACCCGAGGAAACCTGTGTGCAAGGGGCAACAAAACAAGCCTGGAACGTTGCTGAAGGACCTGAAGAGCGGTGACGTCGTCCGCACGCGAGGAAAAGGCGGTTGGTTTGAGAAAGCTAGGGTAACAAATTGTGCCGGGCCACGCTCCTACACTGTCCAAACCGAGCGGAACAGGATCTATAGGAGAAACCGCCGTCATTTGTTGAAAACGTCGGAGGCATTCAATGATTGCCTGGATGAAGATGCCGCTTCACCACAGCAGCACTCCGACGCCCACGACAATCCGCAGCCTTCACGGACTTCGCAGTCTCCACAGCTTCCACAACCACATTGTAACCCAGATACAGACCATCGTTCCACACATCCATCCCCAGCATCCGGTGAAACTTTGACAGATGAGGCTCCAGCACTGAGAAGATCATCACGAAGCAGACACGCACCACGTCGACTAACCTACGACAAAACATTTGAACAGTTTCCATAGTTTCTTTTGTGTGTTTATTTTTCATTTCATGCTATCCGCATTTTTTGTATGTTATGTTATTTTCGTACTTATTTTCTTTGTATTTCTTTTCTTTAAAGAGCGGAAGATGTATCGGTGTTGCGCGGGCGCTCGAGCAGCAGCTCGGAGCCTGGCGCGGGCTCATGGCATAAAGCACGAGAGTCAGTTCTCTTCTGGTACCGAGATGTGTGGACTCACAATCAATACAGACATGTCTTCAGGCAGGTTTTGCAAAAAGTTGCAAACATCAGATGGACATCAGTTTTGCTCAGCAAGTAAAAAGGTTAGAAAACGTGGGGTACCCACCTAACCTAATTTCGAGCTGCTGTGAGAGCCTACTTCTAAAAATAAAAAGAACTAACTTACAAGGGGGCAGCCAGACAAATAAAGTTAAAAGCCGTGTACATGTGATTCCTTATTGGCATAAAGTGCCTCACAACATTGAAAAGATAGCTAGTAGATACGATGTAAATGTTGTTTTTTAAGCCCCGTGTCAGCTCTCAAAAATCTGTTTCATGCTTACACGGCAGAAAAAAGCACTGTGCTCTAGGCAGCACGCTATACACTACACTGAATATGTGACCATTGTTGTATACGAGATTCCATTAAGCTGTGGAAAAGTTTATATGGGACAAACCGGCCGCTGTTTTAACGAGATTGCACGTGCGCATAATCTTTCTGTGCGCAACAACGCGGGTGGAAACCTGACAGACCACTGCAGGCGATGTGCTGACTGTAAGCCTCTTTTGGCTGAAACAAAGTTTTTAAAGAAATCAAAAGATAAGACCGAGAGAGAGATTACAGAGGCGTTTTATATCAAAAGAAAAGATGACAAATGCGTTAGCATGCCTTCTCTCTTTTTTGCACCAGGAAGAAGTAATGTTTCTAAACAGCTGCTTGTGAGAGTGGTGATTGGTTGCAGTATGGGTTTGGGCAAACGATCTTGTGTACAAAAGTGAGTGTTTTTTCTAATAAAATAATTTGTGAGTTAGCGCACGTCCTCGCGTCTTTGTGTCTTTATTGTACCTGTTTTGTTGCGCTTTTTAACCTTTTAAACCAGAAGGACTACTCACTATTTTTTTTTTCAGTCAGAAAACTAGAGTTTGGCGTTCTGACATCTCCGCAACACCTGCGCAAGACGCAGACGAACTTGTGCTCCGCACAGTCACAGACAAGATTAGAATAGAAGAGCGTCCCTTTCAAATGGCCCAGCTCCCGCACCGCCTCGTTGCCTTCACCCTCACTTTGGCTGCGCATGCGCGCTCGAGGATCGCGAGATGCCGAAGCACTATAGAAGGCAGGAAGGTCCAGCTGGAGGCGGGGCACTCCTCCCTCCCGTTGTCATCTTGTCATACTCACTGGCAGCTTGCAGTGAGGAAGGCCTTGTTGCAGATCTTACTCGAATGTATCTGAGGTGCTCCGGCGGATCATGTTACGTGACAGCAGAAATGGAGGAACGCTGGACGTTGGTAGGTCTTCGAACGCCAAGGTACTGTGCCTTTACTCTAAAAGCGAGATTGCGGAAATTTTGGAAGACGGCCTTGGGGGGGGG